ACTTTCCTCAAGCAGTTTTAGCACTTAAAATACAGGATTTTCAGGCAGATTCAGTAGGGAATACTTGGATCACAACTTGTTTTCTGCTGTGCACATCTTGTGGCAGGCACACTTTGTCACTTACAAGGAGCTTCCTGAATTCCTGGGCATACTTTCCACACAACCCATGTCTCTGGCATTTACTTCTCACTCCATCAGGAGAAAAACAAGGGGGAGGGAGGGAGCTGAACCTCTTAGACAAAGACACACAGAAGAAGGAAAGTAACAGAGGATTGGTTGGACCAAACGAAGACATCCTAGGTGAGGGCCAACCTGCTAGACTGAGAAGGAAACAGATGAGTTGAGAGAAGACAGGGGCAAGCACCTGAGGCCAGCTGATAATTTAACCAGGTTCAAAAGAGGATTTGACAAATTTATGCAGGGAAGGTCCATCAGTGGTTGTTAAACATGACATTTGGGGCTGCAACCTCCAAATTAGGACTTAAAGGCCTCTAAATACTGGAAGCTATACAGATAGAGGACACATCAAGTTACACAGGCCCTGCATAAATACTCTGTCACTGTGAGATACAGGACACTGGGCCAGATGGACCTGTGGTCCGACCTATTATTGCATCTATTATGTTCTTATACAGATGACAGAAATATTTGATGTGCTTGCTCAGCAAAATGATTTCCTGCCTTTCATCAAACAATTTGGGGTACCTTTGATATGCAGATCAGAATGAACCATCCTGTCTTCAAGAAACACTGGTGTTGGTGTTCCATTTTTCACTACGTAAGGGGGAATCACTAATACTCAGGTACATGGTCCAGTCTAGCAAGGAAAAGCACTTCTGGATCTGGAATGAACTATGAGTGCATGCCCGCAATTCTCTTTAAAAATACAGAATAGTGAAAATTTTGTTCATCACATCAGTTTTATTAATTCCATGGGCCAACTTTTGTTCTCTCTCGTGTTGGTGTAATTTATGCCAAAAAATTTAAACTTGTACAACTGAGAAGAGCATTTGGCCCCTTATGCGTATTTACCTCATCTTGCAGTCACAGAACATACGATTTTTGTAAGGGCATTTGCTGCTGAAGATAACAGAGCAAATGGAAATTGTTGGGCTGTTTGCTGAGTCTACCAGGCAGAACACAGACAATTGCTGCTTTGACTGTTTCAATGAAACTGTAAATTTGTTAGCCTGGTAGAATATGGTCCAAATTCTTTTCTCAAACTTGTGTAACTCCACTGAGAGCAATTTAATGACTCCAGAATTACAGGACTGTAGGTGAGTTTAACCTATGTTTTTAACCAGGGAGTGTACTTGCACAGCTCACAGAAAATGACCATCAGAAATTAAGTCTCTAGAGCATCACCATATTTTTTCTCTACTTTCTTTCCAGTCCACCTCCATTCAGCGTACTAAAATTACTCCTATAATCCAAAATCTACACCATATCCTATCACAATGTTCCTGATACAGCTTTAATTTAGTATGAAAAAAGTGCCAATATTTCCTTTCCCGTTTCTTAAATTGGAATTTTATTATGAATACCTCCTATATGAACAACTGTTTATTACAACCACCGTGATAGTACCAGGGCTACAATTTGGGTCCATCTAGTGCAGAGGTTCCCAAACTTTTTGGAACCCCTTCCAGATTTACCAGCTGCCCACCTACCGCTACCAGCATACATTTGATATTTTAACCCTTTAAATGCCAGTTCATATTATAATGAAAATTAAATCCACCATTACATAATTCTTCTCATGTACCCCCCAGAGATGTCTTGCACACCCCAAGGGGTATGAGTACCACAGTCTAGAAACCCCTGGTCTAGTATATTTGGATTGTATTTATTGCCTTTTTCTTTCTGAAACAATTTATTTGCCTTCACTGGATCATTTAAAGCAGATTCCCTCAATGTGTTTCATTAGGTTTGAAAGCTAGCGTGTTCTTGCTCAGCATTAGGCTCTCACTGTTTAAAATTATAAAAAAAAACACACCTGGAAATCACCTTGGATACCCCTCACTTTTTTTGAAATGTGCAGCTGTACTGTCCTGCTTTAAAAAAATATGGTCAGTCTGATTTAGACATATAGCATTTCTATATCATGCAAACCATTTTATACTGACATTACTCTTTGTCTGATGGTACTCAAGGAGGTTTTTTTTCCCCTTGTATCCTCTGTTTTCTTTTTACATTTCTACACTGTAATTGCATCAATTTCCATGAAGCAGCCCATTTACTTCAAGCAAATTATCTACATTTATAAAAGCAGTAATCAGATCTACATGCAGTGTGAAAGGTCTATCGCTCCCCTGAAGAAGCAAAATCGTATTATACACCCAAGCTTTTAGTTCTATGAAAATCTCATCTCAGCAGATGGGC